GGAATTAGGTCAAACTATTTTTGGTTAATTTTTGCATACAAACCCTAATTCTATCATGGTATAATTAGAAAGCTTTTAAATGCGAAAAATAAAAGGTCCTAAGTTATTACAACACAAATATGGGATGGGGGGTACAAATGTTCAAATGGGGATATTTTAGCAAGAAATTAAACCTAAACTATTACATCCAAATTGAATTATACAAATTAATTAATTGCACAATAATTAAATAAAATAAGATAAATATGCAAGATGCAAAAAATGATTTTTTATATGTATGTAAAAAGGTATTTTTATGTGACAAATAAACAAAAATAAAAATGATTAATTTTTGGTATTTTTATGTTCTAGGGCAAACCCTAATTTTGCTAAATAAAGGTATTAATTATTTAATGTATGCAATATTTATTAATTATGTACAAAAACTAAATAAAAAAGGAAGTATATTGTCAAAAAGTGATTTTTTAAGTTAAATATTAATAAAAATAAAAAGGTATTAATTTTGTGTTTTTAACCTAAATATACTAATAAATTTATAAGTATTTACATTATTCATTAAATATATTAAATATTTACAAAAATAAAAATATTTAATATTTACAAAAAAAAGTATATTTTTTTATAAAATGTTTTCAAAAGGTAAAATAAAATAAAAATCAGAAAACAAAATGTATTGGTATATATTTCTAGTATTTTAAATAAAAGTATTTATATACTTATTTGCATATAAACTAAATGAAACAAAATAAATACCAAATAAAATGCAAAAAATGTGAGAAAAATAATTTTAATATTTTTTATGCTTTGACAAAAATAAATAAGTCAGAAACAAAAATCAAAAGTCAAAAATAATGAAAATAAAATGCAATGGGCCAAGGGGGTTCATGTGTGAGAATGTGATGCAAAAAGAAAGAACAAGTCAGGCCCAACCCAGGAAGACTTTGTCTTCAACCTCCAGACTGGTTTGAACAACAACAACACGCGTTTCCTAACTCCTGATTCCTGGACTTTCAAGCAAAACTCATAACACAAGAAACGTAGAGAATCAAGAGACGAATCCAGACATATAAAAAACTTAACTTAACTCTCAGAAATGAGAGAGAATTTCTCCATCCCTAATTCTTGACCTAAGTTTTTTCTAATGTTCAGGTTCCAAATTCTCTCAGTACACACAACATAAATGCAAAGTGATTATATGTGTAGCTTCAGGGCCATGAGTAGAGCATTTTTCATTCATAAACTTAAAGCTAACTCTTCCTAGATTGAGAGATAGAAGTCCATGAACTTACCTGTTCAGCTTGGATCGTATCTGGCAATGGAGGTACTTTCAGTGCAATGTGAGGACTTGTACAGCTTGCTTGAAGGTCAGGGATGCTTCTCCAACCTTTAGCTTGCTTTGAAACTAAATGAATCGAGCTATAGGAATCAACCTGCAAAACAAAAAAACTGAAAATGGTGAAGTTGGTTAGAGGTGTTACAGGTCGTGTCTAATGCTTGGGATAGTTTGTATAGGTGGTATGGAGTGCGTATGAATTGGTTTTGGCCAAGGCGCACAAATGGATTGAGTTGTAGAAGTCCAACTGCAGAAGGGACTCTGTTTTCTGGAGTAGGATGGTGTTTTTGTGAATGGTGAGGTTTGGAAGGTGTTTTGGTCGTGCCTTAGCTCAATTATGTTGTTTGGAATATGTTCAACAAGTTTGTCTCAGCTTGTTCTAGCAGCAATGTGTGATTATGTTCAAAATGCAAGGTTTCTTCTAACTTAAGCAAAAAATGACAAGTTGGTTTACAAGCTTCTCTAGGCCCCTCAAGTATGCTGCATCTTTTAGTCTTGATCAGTGTGTTATGCCCATGAATCCTGTGTCCAAAGATATGGCCTTGTACTTCTTGATTTGCAAACTTGACATAAAGCCATACTTTTCAAAAATGGATAAAGTGCTTTTTCCATTTATGGCTCAATCTTGTATGCAATGGTTAAACACACAAGATAAGGCTTAAACACAAAGGATTGGCATTAAATTATTGAGTGTAAATGAGATTAGAGGCCTGTAATGTAGCTTGCACATGCTGAGTTTGAAAATGCACAAGTTATGAACATGGAAATGGCCACTACGCCAAAAATGATTTTTTGTATCACCTAATTTAATAGCACTTTTAAAAAAAATGCTATTAAAATGGAAAAAACACATTTATAATAGCACTTTTTAATCGGGCGCTATTATATAATACAGACTATGTAATTATGATAGCACTTTGTACCAGAACGCTATTATTAAACTTCTTTAAGATAGCATTTTGTATAAAACGCTATTATTTGACTACCTATATAATATCATTTATTAAAAAGCGCTATGTTATATATAATAATTAATTAATTAATTAATTGATAAAAAAAAAACAAAACACATTTTCAGAAAATTAGGTTTCTGAAACACTATCTTCCTCTGCTTCCTTCTGCTTCCCTCTGCTTCCTCCCGCATCCACTCACCGCCAAAAACAAAAACACTATCTTCCTGTGCTTCCTTCTTAGCCAACTGATTCACCTCCGTCAAATCTTCCTCTGCTTTCTTCGGTTTTCATTGATTCACCGCCGTTGGTCATTGATTTACCACCGTCATCCCTTCCTTCGGTTTTCACCCGGATCCATTCTTCAGCCATCGGATTCACCATCGATTCAGATTCAGATTCACTTCATCGGCGCCTGTTGTTTTTGGGTGTAGCAACCAACAGAGTGGGGACTTGACAAAGTCTGATAGAGCAATTGATGGTATATTTGGATTTGGGCAACAGGGCATGTCAGTAATTTCTCAGCTCTCTTCACAAGGAATAGCACCAAGAGTGTTCTCACACTGCTTGAAAGGAGATAGTAACGGTGGCGGCTTATTGGTTCTTGGTGAGATTGTGGAGCCAAACATAATTTATAGTCCACTCGTTCTGTCACAGTATGTTCTTCCATTAGAATAAAATGCTACATTTTAACTATTTTATGTATATATACTCGTTTATCATCTTAAAGCCCTGGTAAATGTGTTATTGTCAAAATTTTATTTGTATTGAAATGGCCATTTTCTTTGATTAATAAAGTTTAAACATTAAGATTAGTTCTATGTTAAATATTTCAGGCCTCATTATAATATAAATCTGCTGAGCATCTCTGTCAGTGGCCAAGTTTTGCCGATTGATTCTGCTATTTTTGCTACATCAAACAATAGAGGTACCATTATTGATTCTGGAACAACTTTGGCATACATTGCAGAAGAGGCTTACAATCCCTTTATCAATGCGGTGAGTTTCACTTAGGTAATTTTTTTTCGTCCAATTGATCAATTATGGATATTGCTTTGATTTATCTATATATTAACGGAAATGTTGTTCTCTGTAGATTACCGCTGCCATTCCACAATCTGTGCGCACTGTTCTTTCCAGAGGAAATCAGTGTTACTTAGTTACCACCAGGTTAAAATGAAACTGTTCATATATATATTTAATGGATTATTTTATGACATAATTTCCCCGAATCAAATGCCTATAATAGACAATCTTTCTCTGCCTCTTTCTGGCTATACCGTGTTTAACAGCCTTGACATGTTTCCTCAAGTAAGTCTGAACTTTGCTGGCGCGTCTCTCGTTTTAGGACCACAGGACTACCTTATAAAGCAGAACTATATTGTAAGTATTCAAACTTCAATATTGATTTAAGAGCTACTTCACGTCTAATTATTTTTCTATTATGAATGTTATCTCACTAGTTGAATGATATAATAAACCTGTTGGTTTTATAGGGAGATGGATCAGTTTGGTGTATCGGCTTTCAGAAAATCCCAGGGCAAGATGTAACAATTCTAGGAGGTAATTGTATAATACCAGTTTGGAAACTTTATTTTCGGTCCTACTTCAACGCTGTTTGTTTCTGTGATATACTGAAAATATACATAAAAGATGTTTTGCATTTGATTGAAGTATGTTAAACTAAAATAGCCGAATCTTCAAGATATTATCAGAAAGTTTTGATGTTAATTTATGATACTATAACAACACTATTTTTTCTGGCAGACCTTGTATTAAAAGACAAAATTTTTGCACATCACTATCATATTATATTATTCCCACCCCCAAGACTTTATTGTATTATGAATTCACATGAATCTTATAACATGCTAAAAAACAGAACAGAGTTTATGAAAACGACTCACATCTTTAAGATCTTGATCGGTTGAGTATCCAAATTTCAGCATAGTTGCTGCCACATACACTGCTAAACGAATTTTATTTGGAAATTTGTGACATGCATCAGTAATACTCAATCCTCCTGCACTATGCCCCACCAATATAACCTATTATTCATATATATATTATTAGTATTATAATATATAAGGTTAAGAAATAAATCAATATCAAAATAAAAATAAAAATATAGAACTTACCTTTTCATTATCTGGTAAATCAGATATGAAATCAATAAGAGGTTTATTATAATCATCAAAAGTAAGAATAGAATCAGCATGAGATTGATCAATTCCACAACTTTTAAGGTCTATGCATGAAACTTTGTACCCAGAATTCTCCATAATACAACAAATTTTATACCAACACCAACTTCCTCCACTTATGCCATGTACAAACACAAAGTGCTGTTTCAAAGGAATGGTAGAATTTGAATCAACTACTCCTTCTTCTATATCTCTCACAGCCATGCCTTTTTCCTCAGCTTCTTTTGTTTTCAATGTTGTTGGTGAAACCAATATATATATGTATATGTATATAATCAAAGATAAGAATAAGAATAGTTATAATTTAAGGGGTTGTGACGTTTCCTTTTTATATGTCCTAGTCAATATTATAGGAATAGGAATATTATAAATATTGAAGGCGGGTTCATATAGATATAGATAATATAAAAACACTGTTTCAGGTAATACTTTTATCACTTGGATATGGATCCTTAAAGTTTTGCATGATTATAGTATTAGTGATAGTGTTGTGGGATGCATTTTTTATAATAAATGCAGAAAGTTAGTGATGAGAATCGAGAAAGAGCGTTAAATCCTCAACATCCCTATAGAAAGTCACATTTAGGGTGTGCTCGTCTTGAAGCTGATATGGTAAGTATGTGTATAAATGTACTATACAATATTATAAAAAAATTTAATTGCTATGTTAATTTGTAAAAATGTATATACAGGTAGAAGAGTCAGAAGTTGGTGAGATAAACCGTAGTCAAGTGTGGAAGGCTGCCCGCGTCAATAAGAGCGGGGTGATTGATAATGAGAATGTTCAAAGAGTTGTGGATCAATGTGATTGTATCTATGAGTTCAACGCTTTTGGATCATGAAGGTGGTTACTACATGGGATTGTTTTGTTATCCTTTCTTATTTTTTTGGTGTTTTGTTTAGAGAATTTGATTGTATGTTTTTGGATTTGGATTGAAGTACTCATAGATGGGCATCTACAAATTTGGCTATGCAAACGCCCTCTTAATATTCTATATGTTATGATATTTGGAAACAATAGGATTTGGTAATTTAAAATGTTATTTGGTATTTGATGGATCATAATATATATGCAATGAGTAACTTAAAGCGTTATTTGTGTTGAATTGAATATAGTTATTTTATATTTACACCAAAAAAAATGATTGTGTAAGAAAAAATATTGTACTGTACTTATTAAAAATATTGTACCAAATATGTACCATTTATTAGCACTTTATTTGAAAGCGCTATCAAACATATGTTATATATTAGCGCTTTTTGTTTAGAGTGCTATAAAAAAACAAACAAAAAACATGCAAAATACTGACTTTGATAGCACTTTAATTAAAACGCTATTATAAATTGGTACTTTAATAGCGCTTTTAAAGTGCTATTAAATAAGAAATATTTACAATAGTGGCGCGGTTAATAGCACTTTTAAGCGCTATCAAAAACAAAAAAAAAGCGCTATTAAATATTTACATGAACAAAGTGACTTTTGCCCATATTGCCAAATTCGATTCTCCCTAACCACAAGGGTGTTTGAGAAGTTCTTGGACATTTTGGAAAGCTTAGGATGTGTAATACAATCCATCTTTGTAATGCAAGTTGAAATTCCAAGTGGAAGCACGTGAAAAGTGGCCATGAAGTTAGGCAAAAATCCTGCCTAGAATAGGTCAAATTTTTTCTAAGTTAAGAATGTTTTGCACCCTTGTTCCAAAAATCATAACTTGAGCTACAAGCTTCTTTTGAGGAAACTTTGTGAATAAAAGTTGTAGATTTTGCAATGGACTATAACTTTCATGTTTTGAGTTTTGTTTGAATCCAAATTCATCTTGATGAAAAAATGGGACAAAGTTAGGAAAAAATTAGGGATTTTCTTAACTTAGAAAAATTCTAAGTTATGAAAATTCTTCATTTCAAACCCTAATTTGTGATTTTTGATTTCTTGATGAACAAGTTTCATAATTTGACATGTCTTGATGGAAAATGAATCCTGACACTTGATTTTGACTAAAAAGTCAAAGTTTGACTTTTCAGTATACAGTTAAATTTTGCTCAGTTGACTGGAAAATTCATCTGTCAATCTTGTGCATTTGGGATCTTTTGAACTTGTTGAACATGTCAAGACAATGCCATTGAGTCCTTGAGTCCATATGTGAGCTTGGTTAGCCATTGGCTAGGTCAAACAGTCAAAAATTGCCTTTGTGCAGTCAAAACCCTAAAAATGACCATTTTGCCCTTTTGGTGATCTGATCAAATTTCTTGTGGAATTATGATCGAAACTTGATCAAATGGTCCATATGAGTTCATAATGTTGATGTGGGTCAAATTTCATGAGGTTTGACTGTCAATTGACCACAGTTGACTTTTTCCCCAACACAACTGATTTCTAGGTCAACTGTCCAATTGACCGGGCAAAGTTTGGAATCAAGACTTGAAACTTGGTATGGATAAACTTGTGAGTCCTACATGAAGCATGAAAGTCATCTTGGGACTTTTGGGTCAAAACATCTTTGTGCAAACACAAACCCTAATTTGGGTCAACAGTGCAAGGAGGAGTCTTGAGCAGAGCAAACCCTAACTTGATCTTGAGCTCCAAAGGTCTTGTGGTGAGAAAATGTTGAGGACATGGGAGGGAAAATTTTGGGGTACAACAGTGGGGCAGCTGTAAATTTAATGCCTCATGATCTGTTTAAGAAAATGGGGAAGTGTGGGTCGAAACTTTGACCTCACAACATGGTGTTGTCAAACTATGAAGGAAATACCAGTAGCATAGTAGGTGTCATTCAAGTAGAATTGGATATTAGAACAACAACCAAATCAACATTATTTATGGTTATAAATTCCAAAGCAAACTTTAATTTATTACTTGGTCGTGAATGGATTCATGGAATAGTTACAGTCCTATCAACTTTGCACCAAAGAATTTCCATTTGGAGAAAAGATGGAGTAGTAGAGAACATAGAAGCTGATCAGAGTTACTACAAAGTCGATGATGTGAAAGGTGCAAAGAAGTCTTTCTACCAACATTTGGCGAATGTAGTGACTTGTGATTATGAGAATCACGCTCCCAATGAAAACACAAATCTTTTTGAGTTTGGATCCTAACCATGGCTTCATATGGGATTCTGAAGAGGCAGAAAGGCCTAGGGATTTGATTCCACCTACGGGGTGGTCTATAATCGAACGTGATGACTAGTGAGTCAACAAGTTTGGCTCAGATTTTGGCTTATGTAGCTGAAAATAAAAGGAAATCGACTTTAGAAGCTGAGAAGTTGCAAAATATGGTCGTCGAAGCCAAAAATCAAGAAGGTCAACTAGGCCAAACAACAACTTCAGAAAGTCGGGGGGTTAGATTGTGTATACGACATTGAACATTTGCAGTTTAAAAAGGACACACTAAATCTAGTACTGAAGATGCCATCACAAGATCTGTTAGAGGAAGTTGATCTAGGAGACGGCACAACCAAGAGACCAACGTACATTAGCACTAAAGTTAAGCTAAAAATGAAAGTTAAGGTGATCAAACTACTAAAGGAGTATAGAGATTGCTTCTCCTGGGACTATGGTGAGATGTCAGGTTTAAGTCGAACGGTCGTAGAACATCGACTCCCTATTCATCCAGGAAAAACGCCAGTAAAGCAACATCCAATGAGATACGCCCCTGAAATAACTTGGAAGATCGAAAAAGAAATAGAAAGGTTGCTCAAGAGTAAGTTCATCAGAACTGAAAGGTACGTCGATTGGTTAGCTAATTTTGTTCTTGTTATTAAGAATAATGGAACTCTTAGAGTTTGTATAGACTTTATGGATTTGAATAAAACTACCCCCAAAGATGAATATTTAATGCATGTCACAGAAATGTTAGTCGATTCAACTGTAGAGTATGAATATCTAAGCATGCTTGACGGATATTTTGGGCATAACCAGATTTTTGTAGCAGATGAAGATGTGCCCAAAACATAATTTAGATTCCCAGGGGCAATAGGAAAATATGAATGGGTGGTAATACCGTTCAGTTTAAAAAATTTCAGAGCTACCTATCAAAGGGTGAAGGTTTGAAAAACAAAAGAAAGTGGGATTTGAATTGGGTTTTAAAAACAAAACTATTCTTTTCAAAATATTCCCCTTTAAGTTAAAATGCTTTTTCCTTCACTCTTGATGATAACAATACATAAGAACAGGAAGTAAAGAACAATGTATGTTTATACTAGTTCACTTGAAAATTATCAAGCTTGTCTAGTCCACCCGTCAAGGTGATTTCGCCTCACTCAATATTACACTTAATTCACTATAACCAAACTGATTACAATATGCACAAGTTACCCGCAAGCGACTAACAACTTCTAAAACTCGCAAGTCCTAGACTTCTTAAGGCTACATACCTACCCAATCCCTTAAGGAATATCAAACAACTATTTGAATACAAGTTTTGTTTACAAGAATGTTCCTTCTAAAAAGCTGAATATGTAAACTATTTTAAGAACAGTGGCTTAAGAGTGTGAAAGCTATGAACAATGTTTGTGCGTCAATATTCAGTGAATTGGCATCTTTCTCTCTTAGTATTTAAGCCTTTATATAGCCAATAAAATAATATATCCATTGAGGGATACTCTTGGGATTTCCATAAATATTGGCAGCTTGAACAGTAACGTGGGGGATAAGATCGTGCGACGCGTCTGTCCTTTTATGGTAGTGGAATGAAATTTTGATTGTACCATGTACTATTTGTACAATGTTAATATTATCTTCTTTCTTTCTGCACTTCAGAGGCTTCTACGAGCATGAGTTTAGAAGTGAGAACATAACATAAGGTCTTTAGAACTTCAAGTCTTCAAAGTCTTTAGAACTGCATCTTCAGAGTCTTCAACACTTGGTTGTGAGAACCTTTTCGAGGAGCCTCAGTGCCGTACCCCAATAATCCCCCATAAGATCCCTTCATCATACTGTGTTGATTCAATCACAACAAGATCACATTAGGGTTCTTGCCTCTCCTCCCCCACCTTTAGCTTTGCTCTTTGAGGAATCACCAAGCACTTTGACTTGTTTTCTTTTGTGACCATGAATATTTTGTCTTGTTTTTTATTTTAATTAATAAAATTCAATGTTGGTTTGTCTTGCTTGTTGCTAATGTAGGTAAAGGCAATGAGATTTAGCAAGTTGCTTCATGGGTTCATGAGTTTATTTCCATTCCCTAGAGAATAAAGCTTGAGAAGTCCAAAACTCACTATTGAGGTAGTTTCGTAAGGGATGGCATGGCAAGGTTATTTTGGTTCACTACATTTCACAGGTGTCAAAATTTATTTAAAAGTGCAAGGGATTGATTGGAGAAGTTGTCATGGTTGGACAAGGTCTTGTTCCCATTTATCACAAATACATATTTCTCTAAATTCTCAAGATATGGAAGTGGTTTTGGTGACTATGAGTTCTCATTTTCATCCTCAACAACTTCTATTTACAAATCAAGGGTGTTGGTACAAGAATGTGATTCAAATTTGTCAAGGTTCCTCAAAGCATTTTCTTGATCTAGGAGCTAAGGGTTTTGAACTTCAAAGAAGCATATCTTGCTCATCTTTTTATATTTTTGAGTGATTCCAAAGACATCCTTATCTTCAAAGGGTTATAAACAAATCACTTCAAAAGTTTCAAGGATTTTTCATGTGGAAGAAACTTGATGATGAATAAGGATTACAAGTCCTCCAAATTAACCCCCATTTCCCCATGCGTGACTTCAAATGATCATAACTTGGTCAATTTTTATCACCTTGAGCCCACTCTTTTTCCACAATTATCGTGAGGACGTGGACTGTATGCCTTCTTTTATGTGAAAAGTGAGAAAATGGATGGAAGATATCCT